GGAACTGGCAGTACACTTTCTATCAATTCATAAAAAACATAATAGGGGCCTGTTGGTTTGTGTGGATATAAAATCCTTTGTCAGGGCTAGGAAGTTCATGTTAGTGAACACTGGCATTACAATCCTCTTGAGTAACACATTGTTTCTCATTTCTAGATGTGTGAAACAAGAAATGGAAAATGACCCTCTCCTCAAACCGGCTAACTCAAACACTTTGGGACAAACACTGGACAGCACTGCCTGAAAAGGCTTTTGACTGGACCCAAACCTGAAAGCACCAGAGAAAATCAAATGCTTCCTATTAATGTAACCTAACTGTTTTAGAGTGCTACAGTCTTTCCAACCTACTGTAGTATCTAAATCATAACCGTTGCTTTTTCTTCAAAGTGATAAATTTTTAGTTTCATTATACTGTTTTGATTGAAATGACACTATAAATTTTTCATTTAAAAGTTTCTTAATTGTATCTAGAACAATAGCACAGTTTAGAAACTTTGTCTTCTGAGACTGATGTTATCTGTGAACTAACTTGGGAAGATCATATCCATGTATGTGGTTATTTTGTTTTTATTGAAATAGTAAAGTTTCATTGGAAACAAATTGTGTGCCCTCCATTTAAAAAGAAAAAGTCCAGGACTTTGGCAAATGTAGCTTAATTCTCCAACGGTTGTATGAATTAAACATTTTAGGAATTTTAAACTTTGTTTGATCATTTTGGTTAATTTCTATTTTTCTTGAAGGGGATGGGGGAACTTGAATGCAACTGGAGTTTAAATAATCTCTGATCTATGTTTTAAAGATTGTGTGTGTGTGTGTGTATATATATATATATACATATATATAGTGGCACACAACTCACTACGTTACAGGATATGATCTCAATGTAGTGCATATAAAACTGCAGATTGATTTTCCTTGAGTGCTTTATACTGTTTAATTACATCTCCATGTAGGGCTGAAAAAAATTACCTATGTTTATATATAAACTGTGTTGCTTTTGATGTTGTGTTATTGCGCACAATACTGTGCGCAATAAGTTTTTTGCATATGGTCCAGGTAAAGCACGATAGCCTTGCAAGTTAAGTACTGCTTCAGTTCATTGTTTACGCTGGAATTTTTTCTCCCCATGGAATGTAAGTAAAACGTAGTGTTTGTCACCAATAAATGATAAATAACTAAAAAATTTTTGGTTAATTTATTCTTGTATGCCATTACTGGGGCTCTTTCTTTTTTAATAGGATTTGTAATGCTTGTGATATACTACGGGCAGTGATGTAACTATGAAGTAACTGTATAATGGTTAATCATAACCTATAAATAACTACATTTTTAGTAATGTGCCGGTTGTGACGAACTGGCTAGGTCAAGGAAATTCAAAATATGGGTACACTATGGGTCTTTGGTGCCACAATGTCTTAGCTTAAATGAATTAATGGGAGCCTTACAAAATTATCACATGATTTTTGAAAAGCAACAAGGCATAGCAAGTTGAAATGATATCAATACTTAGACCTCTACTTTTAAGTTTTCTTGCTTGCTTGTAATGTGTGTCATAATCTTAGCTTTGAGTAATTGTTTTGGTGGGTACTAATAAATACCCCAAATCTTCCCTCTAGCAGCAAGAATTGGCACCATAGACTGACACATACCAGTGTAACATTTGGATGTGAACTACCTTACATGTATATTTATCTAGTAACTTGTAGCAGCTTTTCCTAAATATCTACAGGAAGCATGTGAAGTAAATGTTCTTTTGAAAAGCAGTTACTGCACATGCTCTTTATTCAAAGCTAAATGTCTCGGCCATATTAAGACTTATTTTGTTTGCATTATTAAGCAATCAGGCCATGCTAACTGCTTACCAAATTTTATTAAATCAGTTGTTTTTGATCATACGTGCAAAAAGCATTGTAAAGTTTTTTTACATTTGTAGAACTAAAATGCTGTAAATTTAAAAATTAAAAAACAAGACTTGCTAGGCTGAGACTCTGTATTGCAAATTCTTACAACCAACTTAGAAATTCCCTGGCAAATCATTTATCCTGGAAAACCTGAATGATGGTGCAGGTGGGCAACACAAGTCTTTATTCTGCAGTTGGTTAATTCTCTTCTTATTAGCTGAACAGGAGAGCCTATGGTTCTGGCTGTCTTGGCTTGTGCAGCTATTGAGGTACTACAGCACTCCACATGTAATAACAAAACACCATAAAAATATCCAATATCTAACCCATTCCTAGAGGCACTAGCACCATAGGTTTGTATAGCACATTAGAACCAGGAAAAGGTCCCTGACCCAAGTAGCCTGGAATCAAAGCCAAATAACATAGGACGTCAAATTTTTGGAGGTGGTGAGTGGCAGAGGGGCTGAGTGTGCACAAAGGGGGAGCATTTTTTCACATGGAGCTGTAGTGACTTGAGTTGTTACATTATTGCTTGGGGTTAATGTCTGATTTAGTCTACTCTTAATGCAAAGTAGGATAGGACACGTGGATATAGAACTTTCTGTTAGTAGATCTCAGTGATTTACAAAAGAGGCCAGTATCATCTGAGGGAAACTGAGGTGCTCAGCAGTGAAGTGACTTGTCCAACATCACCCAGCGGGCTCGTAGCAGACCTGAAAATAGAGCCCAGGTTTTCTGAGTCCCTGTCCAGTATCCACTATACAACACTGCCTCTGACTTTTCTCTCTCAAACTCCTATTACTTTGATCCTCTTAGATCCTTAAAAATGCGTGCACCTGCCTAAAATGTAGAGTGTTCACCACTGGCCAAACTCCTCCTATTGAAGTCAAAATCCCTCTGCAGTCTAATTCTGGTAAGTCTGATTTTTTGCTATTAAGCCTCCTCATATAAGCAGACTGCAAGATTTATAGTCCTAAAAACAGGCCCTTGGATCAGACTGTTGGCTTAATTGGCCAGGGCAGCCTGTATCCCAAACCCTCATCCTCAGAGCCATCACGCCCCTGCACCCAACCATCTGCCCTAGCCAGAGCCATCAGCCCCCCCCCCGCACTCCAGAGCCTACATCCCTAGCCCAAACCCCCTGCACTCCAAACCACAGCCTTGAGCCCCGTAATCCCCAGCCCCACCCCACAGCCCTCACGCTCCTCATATCCCAATCTTCTGCCCTCTCCCACAATGAGCCCCTCAGTTCCATCCCACTACATGAATGTTATGTGCACCACATCACCTCCAAATCGGTGCACACAAAATTCATTCCGTACATGGGTGGGGAAAATTAGAGGGAATGTTGTTGAGGGTCTGTTACATTAGGTTTGCCTTATAGTCAATCACGATTGAAAAGGGAATCTAACATTTAAAATGCCTAGTTTATTCAGTCCTTGCGTCTGTTAACAATTACACTAGCAGCAGTTGAGACGCTGATCTTTTCCATCTTTGCTTTTCTCTCGCATAGTAGGATGAGCGTTTATATAGCACTTTACAGGTTCTTAGCACTGTACAGTCATTGAGCCTCACAACTTCCCTGTGAAGTAGGTGAGAATCGAAGTTCAGTGGACACCAGCTTTTAGCACTGAAATCAAAACAAACACCCTTACAGACCTAGCCAGGAGTTAACTGCTCCAGCACTAAGCTAATGGCGGTAACTTAGGTTAACTATACAGGAAGCCTGATTTTGGGAAAATGTTGAATATTCAGTAGGAGCAAAAAGACTTGGAAAATTACACTCATGCTCTTCCGTTGAGCAGCTCCGTGTCTTTAGATGTCACTGACACACCTGGTGTTTCCAGTACACCTCCAATCTTTAAAGTCCAACTTCTGATTGGTGCCTTGGGTGGTCACTTAAGGCAAGCTTCGCTGTGTCTTTGAGTCTTCTAACGTTTCTAAATGGTGTCTGTTTCATGCTTCTGTCCGCAGCACTGGTTTGCCTCCTGTGCAGTGGAACTGAGATGACCTATGTGCTCAGCCATGCCTCTTCCTCTTGTCGCTAAGTGACTAGCCTCAAGTTGAGGAAAGAGCTTTCTCTTCAGCTGTTGCATTTAGGCACAAATGCTACAAACTACATCGATAAGAACAGCTTTTCATCAGGATCTCTTCCTCCAAAATTTGGAAAAGTGATTTCTGGAACCATCAGTATTCGCTGCCTCACGGTAGCAGGGTGTAGAGCATGCAAACAAATGTTCCATCTGTGAAGTTCCTGTCCAGGTAGCAGCTAAAACAACACTCTAATCTGTTCCCAGCCTGAGGACCCCTGTTCTACCAGGTGAAATGCCTTTCTTGGAGATGGGAGGGTAAGGACCCTGGGTGCCAATTAGTCTCAAGTATTCCTATAAAGTCCTAAAATGGGAACTCAGGCAACCGTCCTGTAAGATCTCCCAGCTTTCTCGTGGAATAGCCCCACAATGAAGGGGTTATAGTTGATGAAAAACAGAGAGAACCCAATTTTTTTTCAAATGTTTTCTGTTTCTCATAACTTAAGTAAAATAAAATACATCCAGCTCTGAGAGGGGATTCTTTCCCATGCCCATTAACTGTATTCCCATCCGAGAACATAAGGAATAAAACTTCCTATCCAAAAGCAATTAAGGGAAGCATGTCTGAAAATACATGATTCTATCCCTCTTTATAGTGTTGGTGGCCAAGAAATCCTGAAAACAACCAAAAATCCTAGAAAGATTTTTAAGTTCTCCTCATATACTTGCCTTGTCCTGCGACTTTAGGTCCAAATACTATTCCAGCTTCTGCAGTCAAGTAGAAGACCTACCGTAAATTAGTGAATATAACACGCGTTCAAGTATAATACACACTCATGTAATACCTACAGTTTTTCTAGCGTGTGTTTAAAAAAAAAATATATATATATATATTAGAAAATCCGCGGACTTACATAATCCACAGAGGCTTCTGCCACCTTCATAAAAGAATTTGGAGGTCTTTGATGTGGTTGCCACTTGCAAGCTATAAAGACTGAAGATTACGACATCATGCAGCCCGATAATACTGAATCTTATTTTATTTTAGTAAACACAACATTGCCACTCTTATTAAATTATTATTAAATCGAAGATGCTGATTTTATTATGTTGATCTTGTCATCTTGTAATATGAGTAAAAATCAAATTGCATAAGACGTGGACATATATACCCCACGGGTGTGGGTGCGTGGTAGGTAAAAACATGGATAACCCACGGGCTATATTTGCTAATTTATGGCAATATTTTCCTGCTCTTATGAATAAGACTAAAAGATGGGGTTATCAAATGTGCCTAAGTGTAGCAAAGGAGCCAAAAATCAGATTCTTACATATGTATTTATACCATTCATCTGGTCCTTTTCAGTGAGTAGTAGCTATTATATAAATGCTTGGTGTCATCAGATTTCTTCTGAGAGCCTTCAGATGTTGACCAAAAGAGCAAGTATGGATCAATAGAAGATGCTACCTCTAAGCGCTTCTACATGGAAGTGATTTTATTCAGCAGGTTTTCCCAGCTAAGTTTAGATTAAGAAAGTGTTCCTGAAGCTGTTACATTTGTGCAAGTACCACTCTTCATCTTCCTGTTGCTATCAGATGATGTTTCTCTTCTCCTTTGTCTAACGAATGGATACATGCACTTATCAATACCCAAAAACTTGTAAACAAGAACTTGAACATCCCATGGAAGGAGGCTGGAAATAAAGTTTCAGTAATTAGGAAAAGATTTTAATTTTCTCAGTTTATCCTTCAATTAATTATTTTAGCGCCTTGATTGAATCTGTGGACTAGATCTAAATGTATTGAAAAGTGAACAAAACTTAAGAGGGTATCTATGCTATCTTCTGCATCCAAAGAAAGAAAATAGCTTAGGTTACTAATACTGTTCTAATACAGTAACATTTTATAGGATTAGGCAGGGAAAAGCTATGACATATTAAACAATCCATCTTGTCAGATTTCAGGACGTGTTCCCCAAATTGCTAACAGTTGTTGAACATTAAATGTAATTTAGCTGACACTGTCAAAGGCTTTTTCAGGTTATTTTACATGCCTCCTATTCTAAAATTTCTTACCTCCATGCTCTTTGCTATTTCAAACATAAGGTGTAGGTGTAGCATCTTGCATATTTAAAATAATCTTTGTGCAGAGGGAAGAACAGGGTTTCCCAAGGAGCAGACACAAGCCCTGTGCTAAGGTTGATGTGCTTTTTCATTAAATCAATGTTCTAGCCATTTGGGGACACTCAGACAATGCTACAGACAATTAGTTCACTTTTAACTGCATCCTAAAACAGAGTGCTGTTAAAATGAATTAACGTGGCTGCAGCTCTCAGAGGAAATACTTACTGTTTGGAAACGACTGCAAAGTACATCGCTCGGGGGATACATATTATGGGCTGGTTACTCAGTATTCCTTTCATCGCTGTCTTCACACAGTTACCTGGTTGTAATGAAGGAAGAAGAGCATCCAGCTCTTGCCTAGACAAACAATTGGGAAAAGTTTCATTTAAAGACAAATCAACAGAAATTTGGAGAAAATGAGATTGTTATAACCCTGCTGAAACCACCATTGCATGAAGGAAAAGTGTCAACATTTCCTTTTACATCTTCTTAGGTAGGGCCTGGGCTGTTCAAGAACCAAGGAGTCTTGCCTGCCAAACTCTTCTTATGATTAACTCAGATACAACCCTTGTTGGTGACGTACAACTGCAGGTGTTCCTGGCTTAAATGAATTTGAACAACTCTGACTGGTAGTGGTTATTGCTAGTAATCCTTCAGTTCCTTCTATTATGCTAACATCAAAACTGTCATTTTTAGTGAGCCTTTGATTTTGTGCAGTCGTGATAGCACCTGCAACATGCCATTGAATAGAACTGACTCTCAGGCTGTGTCTAGACTGCAGGTTTCTTGCGCAAGAAGCTTTTTGCGGAAGAGATGTTCTGCAAAAACTACTTGTGCAAGAGCTCATCCACACTGCAAAAGCGCATCAAAAAAGTGATGCGTTTTTGCAAAAGAGAGTGTCCAGACTGCATGGACGCATGTTCGAAAGGAAACTCTGATTGCTATTTACAGAATGGCCACCAGGGCACCTGTGCTTTTTTCAATTGCTTCTTTTTGCTCAAAAAAACCCTGTTCCCCGTCCCCGCACACCTTTTTTGCACAAGAGCTCTTGCACAAAAAGGAGTTATTCCTCATAGAGGAATCCCTATTGCGCAAAAACTCCCCTGCTCTTTCGATTTTTTTTTTTTTTTTTTTTGCGTAAAAATGTTTCAGGTGCGGACGCTCCAAGAGTTTTTGCGGAAAAACAGCATATGTGAGTATCTTGCCATACGTGAGTATCTCATACCCAAGCAATAGTTCTTTTTGAAGGTCTCCACATGAGTTGAGCTAGTCTACAGGGGGCTCATCATCTTTGGGCAGCTAAATTAGGAGCTCAGCATTAAACTTCAGTTGTACATGAGCTTGGCAGGAAAGGGGAGTCCTGCCTCCTGGCCCTAACCCTGCAAAGCACACTTAAAGGTTACGTCTAGACTGGCATGATTTTCCGCAAATGCTTTTAACAGAAAAGTTTTCCGTTAAAAGCATTTTCGGAACAGAGCATCTAATTTGGCACGGACGCTTTTCCGCAAACACACTTTTTGCAGAAAAGCGTCCGTGCCAATCTAGACACGCTTTTCCGCAAACAAGCCCCAATTGCCATTTTCACGATCGGGGCTTTTTTGCAGAAAACAAATGAGCTGTCTACACTGGCCCTTTTGTGCAAAAGTTTTGCGCAAAAGGACTTTTGCCCGAACGGGAGCAGCATAGTATTTCTGCAAGAAGCACATGATTTCTTACATGATCGTCAGTGTAGACAGCTGGCAAGTTTTTCCACAAAAGCAGGTGCTTTTGCGGAAAAACTTGCCAGTCTAGACATAGCCAGTAAGTTTAGGCCAGTCCTGGCAACCCCAATAGGCTCCCAACTGGCATTCCCTAGCGCTTGGGTGGCCACCCAGGAGAGATTCAGGTGCTGTCCAGCTGATTAGCAAAGCGTCCACAGTTCCCACAGCTGGCAGCATGTGTTTTACTGGTGGTGCACATCCGCACATGCCTCAGAGCATATAAAATGTATTCCTAACATGGATGGAAAAAATGAGGGAATTAGGTCCCAACTCAGTTTGAGAATCACTGGTCTAGAATGATGATTGGACATGGCCAAGAAACTAGTAGAGAATTGTAGCAAACTCTGGAACTTACGAATTGCAGAAGCTGTCACTATTCACTTGTTCCCTCAACATACTTAAAATTAGACTGAACCTATTGAATGATGATACACTAACGTGAGACTAAGGAGTCCCTTCCTATAAGGGGAGGAAGCCTATACCAAGATGGATTTCTCCAAACTGAGATCAGATCTACATTATAGCAGAGGTCCAGGGGGACAAGATGCCCTTCTTCTATTCCTGATTCTGCCAGTGACCCACTTTAGCAAATCTAAAACCTAAGAATTTCAGCCCTGGGCTGCAAGACTCAGGTTATAGGTTCCCTGCCTGAGGCTGAAGCCCTTGGGTTTCAGCTTTGCTTCTTTCTTCTCCACCCTCTCCCCTGAGAAATGAGGTTCTGTAGACTTAGGCTTTGTCTCCCCTTGGGATCGTGCAGTAACTTCTGTTGTCAGAAAGAGGATCATTGTGCAATGAAGTTTGAGAACCCCTGTTCTAAAGGATCCATTTCTAGTCTGGTTCTTCTTCCAGAAGCCCTTCTTTCCATCCACACCTCAGAAGAATTCTGGTTTCTACTTTCATGTCTGTAGGTAAAAATGTTCTCTACTTTTATCAAGAGATGGCATCCTTAGCTTCTGATTGTGCTGTCTGCCCTGAATAACATGTCAGTGTTCTAGCTGTCTCAGTGACCCAAACTGCTGTACAGGCAGTCCCCGACTTACATAAGTCGGATCCGCACTTACGAACGGGGCTTTCTCGCCCCGGAGCTCACAGGCAGCGGTCAGCCACCTCGACCTCCGGGGCGAGAAAAGCTGCTCCCGGTGCCCCTGGTCTGCTGGGGACCATCTCCAGCAGACCAG